TTCCTCCCTCGCAGTGGAAAATGTCTTGAGTGATGGACTTTCTGGCCAAGATATTAATCCCCAACATGAAAGTCTGCCAACCACATTAGAAATCTGGGCCATGCCAGAGCATACTGCGGTGTGCTGAAGGACACTGAAGCTTTGTGGTCGTCTTTAACACTTGGCTTTCTGCTGGTGGAGCTCCTGAAGCACCAAAGAGCCCGGGAGGCACATTGCATGTTTTTCAGGGTGGCATTGCCATTGAGCAACTGCCCAGATGCTCCAGGGTAGGGTCTCAGGGGTGGTACTCTGGGCAGTGGCAGAGCATCCCCGTACAAACAGCTGCCCCAGCCACCCTGCACTTTACCTGCATGGGTTGGCAAGGGCTCTTGGTCAACAGGGCTCCAACGTGTTGGAGTTTATCAACCTGCCATAACCAAACCTGTCAAGAATGTGTGATTTTCTGGAGGCCGTGTGATAAGCAAGGCGGGTGATGGAGACTTTCTTCACTGAGTTTGCTTGGCAGTGCCTGTGAACTTTCCATCCAAACCCTTCAGGGAGGGAGTGGGTTATGCCTGTGGGATGTTTTTGCACCGAGTTGTCCCCCCTGTTTTCAGACAGTTGAACAAAGCATTGCTGTCCCCCAAAACAAATACCTAGATAAAGCAATGAAATTTGATCTCCCTAACGCTGATGAGAATATTCCATGAGAAGATCTACCAAATAAAGTCTACCTTGGGTGTCTGTCTTCTGGCAGGACCATCTGTCCCAGAGGCACTAAGGTGACTTTAGTGTAGATAAGAGAGACCCTTGCTTTGGAGTTGGGGTCTGCAATGCTAGTGCCAAGACAAGAAGAACAGTTTTGTGATGGAGCTCATTTATGAGAGCCTCAACCACCTTCTCCAAAACTCAGGCTGCTGCTGCCGCACCCCGGGGCAGTGGGGGCTGTCTCGAGGGAGCTGCCCCCCAGTACCGGCAGCAGATGCCTTGGCTCTCTGCTGGGCATTTGCAGAGGAGGTGTAGGCAGTGTTTGCTGGAGCTGCGCTGCAGGACTCGCTCACGCATGGCTAACGTGCCTGGGGAGCCCAAGTGGATGCATGGGAGATGGAAGAGGAGGAGGAGGAGGGCTGGCATCGGCAAGCGTGGAGCCAGCAATGTCTCCTGGCCCCTGCAGGGACACTGGCTCTGCCCGAGCTCAGCCGAGCCTCCTGCTATTGCCTGTACGGAGGGGGCTGCAGGCATCCCAGCATCCGCTTTTCCAGCTCCCCTTTGGAAACCAGGCTGGAGAACAAAGTCCTGCCCAGAGCTCATCTCCCTCGCCCTATTCTGCTTCACGTGCCATCTCCTGTCTGGGAGATGATCATGGTATTAAATTGATTTCATACATGGTGTTCAGAATTCCCCTAATTAGAAGGTTTTGCTCGAATTTTGGGAGAGTGTCAGTATTTGTGAGGTATCAGCAAGCATAAAGGCAAGAACGCCAGCTTAGGCAATTGCTCCAACCTCCAAAAAACTGGAAAGGAGAAAAATAGGAGTGTGTATATTTGCACGTGGGGAACAGGAGTCTTTCTGCTATTCTAGGTTTCCATTTTCCTTCCTCTTCTCCTTCTTCTCCTTGGTCACTGGTGCCTAAGCTGCTTTTTCAGACACAGGGAATTCCTGATAGATTAAGGTAATTTCCTGGAATTTAATATATTTAATCTCAAAACCAAGGGAGAGGGAAGAACCGAATTGCTCTGAGTACTGACGATGCCTCCACTGAGCACTCTCCCAAAAGGCAGCTGCATTTAAAAGGTCTATTTACTCTGCAATGGGATCATCCTTTGGAAAGACATTACCCAGCTGTTTTGGGGCAGATCAGCACCAGGCACCGTGCTCCCCTCGCTGAGGTGCAAAGACGTTTGGCTGCTCCCCGTGATGGCTGTGCGTGGGAGGATACTGCTCCGGTCCTCCGCCTGTGGTTGCCCAGGCATGATGCTCGGCAGAACCTTGCTTGCCTTGCTCTGCAGCTTCCATTTCGGGGCCAAACTTGACACTTCTGTCTCCTAATGCTGCATCTTTGACCTCTGCGGGGCTGCACCTGCTTTGCACTGGGTCGGAGTTGGGCTCTGGATCTACTCTATCCGTTGGACTGGATGTAATGGTGTCCTCAGGGCTTTCAAGTAGATGGACAAAGAAGCCATTTCAAAGCTGCTGTGAACTAGGCAGAATACGACGATGAAGAGGAAGGGTCTGAGATGAGTCTCTCTCCAGGCAGGGAATGCTCCAAAATGCTCAAAATGGTGTTTGGAGGATAATTTTTCCCAGCCCTTTGTCCGTGAAGAATGAGGGCTGTGAGGGGAAGCACGCGCCCAGGGTAAATGCCTCAGCTCTATTGTTCCCATCATTTCCATTGAGTTTATGAACCCCCATATAAAAGACTTACCTTTTACTAGTATGATTAAGAAAAGGCCAATGTAGCTTTCCCGCTCACTGGAGCATGAAGCGTGTTTAATTTAATAATGCTGATAAATCTTAAAGCCAAGAGCATTTGGCTAACACATGACCCACTTTTTCAATCAATTGGAAACATTTACATAACGGCCTGATGCAGGGTTCCTCCTGTGAGGGATGTGGAGCAGGGAATGGCAGACACCCCTGCGGTAAGCACTGCCGCTGTAGGACATTTGATGAAAGCAAAACGGCGAATTTGGCTGGTCCTTAGCGGGCAAGTTGTGACCCACCTCACTGGGACTGTCAGCTCTCCCACTACCGCAAGGATGTGCCCGGGTTTAGAGCACCTCAGCCCCCCAGCTGGGCTTTTGGGGTCCATCACCCTGGTGGCAAAGCCCAGACTGCTCCAGGGTCCCACCCTCACCCGCCAGCTCCCAGCCATGGGGCTGGCACCCTGGGCTGTAGCTGCCCGGGCCACTGCAGTTGGGCAGCTTACAAAAGAAAGCTCTGGGAGTGGTGTGCGGGGCGGGACAGCTTTGTGAGTACTGCCTCTGCAAGTCACGAAAGCCACTGCCTGAGGATATGCCTTGACCATCAGCTGTGAACAGCCTCTACCTTCCTCTGGCTCTGCTGTCAGAGGATGTTCATCAGCTGGGAAGGGGAGCTGCGCCTTTGTATTGGCATGCACCAGCCTCGTGGGTGGCTGCAGTGGTGTTATGGCTTTGTTTCTTTCCCTGCAGCAGGGCTAGATTGCTCCTGGGACAAGACATCCTTGGGGGTGGCTGTCCTCCTGTGCGACGGGGGCACCTCTTCCATGCAGGCACTTTATCTCCTGTCACATCAGGAGCACCAGCAACGCTGACCTCCACAAATCAGCATGTTCATCCTTTTCAGCATTGCTTCCCATGCACAGAAATCAGCACGGGGTTAACCAACACAAACAGTTATTTATTTTTCTTTATTGTTTGCCTGCAGTGGGCTCAGTCTTGAAAGAGAGTGTTCCTGATCTTGCACATTGTGCTATTGTGTGTCAGCCTGTTCCCATTACTCTGGTCCCCAACGTCGTCACCTTCTTCCTTTGAAATATTCTCCTCCTCCACACCCTTAACAGTGCCTTTTGGCTCGACATCTTCAACACATTTCATTTCTTATCCTTCTTGTGAGGATTTTACTTTTTTTCATCTGTAACGTCCAGCGGCCTCAAGATCAGCATTTGCAAGTAGGTTACAAGCAACCTCATTCCCAGTGAGCCAGTCTCCTGTTAGCTCAGTGGGAACGCCATCTCCCTGCTAACCACATAGGTTTTATCCATTTTGGGTTTCATAAGAACCTCATGGAGGAGGAAGTTTTACATCAAACCCATCTCCCAGACATGATTTGTGCCTTGCTGCCTGTTTATTCATCCCAACTGCCTCTTTGCATTAAAGTAATACTTGAGAACTGGTTTACCCCCCATTTTTTGGTCATATAAGTCCCTATCTGAGGAAGGGAAAACGCCAGATACTCATGACCAGGATGAAAAATCTCCCATTTGATATATACTGAGGGATTAAATAACAAGGGGGAGAATTGCTGCAAATCTCTCGGCATTGCACGTAGAAGGATGCTGGCACCTCCCTGTGAAACAGGACCGGTCTCCCCATGCAGTAGGCTGCAGGGACATTTCACATGCCTGGTCCACACACAGAGATGCTACTAAGAAGGCATCAGGAAAGAAAAGGAAGGATTTGTTACCATTCTGAGATTTTTCCCCCTGCCTTCAGAATATCAGTGGCGTTTTTCCCTCTAGAGGGCAGAGGAGGAAAGAGAGAGAATGGGAAGGGAAAGCACTGGGAAAACTCGCAGAGGTTTTGTTAGATACACGCAAAGCATGAATAGCTGGAAATGGCGTGGTCCTGAGACACAGTGCCCAGCTAGGGTGCTCACAGGTCGGGGTGAAAATGCAGAAGTGTAGTGATCGGGACACCAGCTCCATCCTTTCCGCTCCATGCTCCTGGGATCAGATAGGTATTTCCTGGTTACTGAAAAACTAGCTTTTCGTTTTCTGAGTGCCATATTCACACTTGAAATGGTGAATTTTGGTTTGCTAGGTAGGTGCCCTGGGTCTTTTAAAATCCCAGTTCAGCCATCGGTCTTTGGCCAGGCTGCTCCGCCGACTCCCTGCTCCTGTGTCCACGTGCTTAGCTGCTTTTCAGCTCGTGCAGGTGTGGGCTAGCAGTCTGGCTGTGCCACCTCGGACACTTGAGTCTTTGCTCCCACAATGGCTTTTGCATGAAGCCGGTGGCAAAGCCACGGCAGAGCTGCGGGCTCTTCCCGGGCTTGTGCCCTCATGGTCCCTGCGGTGAGTGGGCAGCCCCATCTGCATCCATGAAGGTGCTCGGCCCGTGACATCTCCCTGCAGCTCCTCCAGCTGTGGCTTTCCCATGCCCTGCTGCTCTGCAGGGTCCATCCCACGTTGAGGAACCTGCATGTTTTGAGAGAAAACCTTTCCCCCTCTCTGTCCCCAGGTGATAGAGCTGTGGTGCTGTCTCCTTCTGTGCCGAGGCTGCCCTCCCAGCTAACACACGTCTCCCGTGCCCCGGTAGGAAATGGAGTCAAAGGTCTCCGAAGGTGGCCTGAACGTCACTCTCACCATCCGGCTGCTGATGCATGGCAAGGTAAGGGGCTCCCGGTGAGGGGGTTTCCTCGCAGCTCCCTCTCCTGCCTCTGCTCCAGCTATGCCCGGGTCCAGCCAGCCTCTGCAGCCCGGGGCTGCTGGGAGCACGTTTTCTCCTGCTGATGGGGGAGGGTGGTGTGGTGGCATGGTGCTCCTGGCCCCTCTCATGCCTGCCCCCCGCCCTGTCCTTCTGCTGGGGACAGTGTGCACCAGGTCTTTGCTTCATTATGGGGTTGGGCTGGATTGTCTTCATGTCTTCTGATGTCTTTGGCTTTTCTTTGGCAGGAAGTCGGAAGCATCATTGGAAAGGTAACAACATCTTTTAAGTGTGTGCTTAATGCTATTGCCTGCCCCATTTGCTGCTTGTGGTGTGGTAGATGCCAGTCACCTCCTCCCTGTAATGTCCCTTAAATGTTCGGTGTGCATGAGCATGTCACTGGGTTTGTGAGGCAGAAATGATGGGAGACCCACAGAGGGATCAAAGACCATTCCCCTAAAAAAAAAACCCCAACCACCAAACTTATCTAGTGCTGTTTCCAGCTGCTTCACTGTGGTGGTGAATAGGTGTTTATGATCATGTTGTCCTGACACATTAATTAAATAGATTCATTAAGAGAGATTAAGAAATTTCATGCCAGTCCATCTAAATTCTGCAGCACTTCCCTCTGAGGACACAGGATGCCATTTAGCTCATGCAGAAAAGCTACATGAGGTGCTCTGCTCCCTGGTGCTTGCCGTGGTGGTTTGGAAAGTCCTGGCTACACAGGATTAGTTTTTTGGTGTTTTTAAAAGGCAGGTTTGTGGTAGCGAAGATTTGCAGCACGACCACCTTCTCCTATATGCTTGCACCTTATTTTTCCATCAGCCTGTCCAGCCCTGGAAAGCTTCACAGTTGTACCTGCTTTATATCTGGATATAAAGATATTAAATCTCTCTATAGGTACTAGATAACTGCCCTTCAAAGATATTCTGAAATGCCGGCTTTTCTCAACATATGATAAGTTTCTGAGCTTTTTCCTTGCAGTTTTCCTCCTAATGGGGAACGTAGAAATGGAGGTGGAAGCTGCAGTTGTGTAGCTGGTTTGTCTATCGTGTCTTACAGACATGGGGAACAGGGCTACGATGGCTTACACCCTCAGCTCCTCAGCCTGCCCATCACGTGGGGATGGAGGGCCAGGCAGCACAGAGCTGCCCAAATGTTTGGCTATGTATTGCCACATATTAGAGAGATGCATGTTTGGAAGGGCTGTTTTGAAGGTGGAAGTCTTGATTTTTTACAGTAGCCTGTGTTTCTGATTCTTATTTCAGAAAGGAGAGACTGTGAAGAAGATGCGTGAGGAGGTGAGCAACCCTGCTCTTTAAAACGATTTGGAGGAGGAGGAAAGAGGAGTGGGAAGGGCCATCGGGCTGTCCCGCCTGGCAGTGTGCAGTATAATGGCCAGAGCAGCACATTGCCCTGTGCGATACGGGCAGTAACTCCCAGGGTCAGGACATGCAAGCCGGCTGTGCCCAGAGCTTTTTGGTCCAGTTTTCTCACTCCGTACTCAAACAAACTCCTATCACATTTAATGGGAATTTTCCAGAGCCAAGAATTTGCTCTAATGAAACAGTGAAATTAAGTCACTTGTAAGACGCTTGAGTTTGCCCAAGGTCTTTGTGCCTGCAGCTACCAAGGAGTTATCAGATCAGTAAGCAACACTCCTCTTACAAGCAATGACCGCACGAGCTGGTCTTGCCTTGATCGCATGGGTTTGCACTGCAGTAAAAGACCCGAGGTGGATGCTTGGAAACCCTTTCTGAGGGTTGGGGTAAGGCAGCACTGGAAGCACCACAGGGTGAAGGGGTGGGAGTTTTTAAGGTTAGATGGGATGTTGAGAGGCTGGCAGAGGTGATGACCAGGGACCAAGCGAGCAATGTACTTGCTGGTCATCTGGGGCTCTCTGAGCTTCTGCTGTTGGGTGCTGAACCTTCCCAGGCTGGGACAGCATCCAACCTGGAGGAAGGTCTGCACCTCCAGTGCATCCCCGCCAGTTGCTTGGCTGTGGTTATTCCAGGGCTGCCCTTCTCTTTCCAGAGCGGGGCAAGGATCAACATCTCGGAGGGGAACTGCCCCGAGCGAATCGTGACCATCACTGGCCCCACTGATGCTATCTTCAAGGCTTTTGCCATGATTGCCTACAAATTTGAGGAGGTGAGCAATGTGATCCCTTTGCCCCAGGAGGGCAGAGTAAAATGGTCTGCATCCAGACCCTTGGGTGGCCCATCAGCCAAGCAGAGCTCCGGCGTGCCCACTGCTGGAGCCAGCAGAGCAGATGGGCCTGGGTACCTGGTTGGACTTGCTTAACTGGTACACAGCATCAGCACAAAACCTTCCAGACACCTCTAATTAGGCAAGAACTGAGCTTCAGTCAAGTGTCCCAGAGGTCTCGCAGTTAATTAACTGCAGGGATGCGCAGTGATGCAGTTGCAGACCAGCCAGGGTCTGGGGGACATGACCCCTCTTTTCTGGCCCAGGGCATTTGGGTTGGCCTGGATGGCAGGCATCTGGTTGGGTACCAAGGGCTGATGCATTGCATTCTTCCTTCCCAAGGACATAACCAACTCAATGAGCAACAGCACTGCTACCAGCAAACCTCCGGTGACACTGAGACTGGTTGTGCCGGCTAGTCAGTGCGGCTCGCTGATTGGCAAGGGAGGCTCCAAGATCAAGGAAATCAGGGAGGTAAGGCAGACCTGGTTTTGTTATTGCATGTAATCGCAGCTCCGACCAAGGGGGAGCAGGAGCTGCCTTGGAAAGGGGGATCCTTATGCTGCAAGCATCATGCATCACGTTGCTTCCCAGGACAGTCCTGCTGGTGTAGGAGCAGCATCCCGTGGACCTTGCCGGCATGCTCCTGCAGGTGCAGGCAGGGTGCTGCATCTGAGCTCACACGGGGCAGTGCAGCTCTTGGGAGGCGTGTGACATCGGAGCTGGAGCTGGCTTCAAGGAAAGGCATTCAGCTGTGGGATTTCTCCTCCTCTCTCTTTCTGTCTCCAGTCAACAGGTGCTCAGGTTCAAGTGGCGGGGGACATGCTGCCCAACTCCACGGAGCGGGCGGTGACAATCTCGGGGACACCCGACGCAATTATCCAATGTGTCAAACAGATCTGTGTGGTGATGCTGGAGGTACAGTCTGTAACAAAGGGGGTAAAGTACATAGGAAAAAAACCCAGCTGGCACCACAACAGTGCTGGGAGCTGTGGAGCGTTTCTCTCATAGCCTTCACCACGCGTTGTCGGACCACTCATTTCCTGGTACCTCTGTTTGAAACCCACCCAGTGTGTTTTCCCAGCCATCTTCATACGGTGTTTCTAGAGTCCCACACTGGAAACCTGCCTGGTCGGGTGCCCCAAAGGAGATGGTTTGTGTTGTAGCACAGGGTGGCTTCAGGAGAGAGGGGTGCCAGAGGAGGCCAGGTGGGCTGGGACAACCATAACCTGGTGTCCCAGCAGTGCCAAGGGTGCCATGGGAAGGAGACGGGGGCTGCAACCTCTCCATCAAGCACCTGGTCTCCTCTGCATGGGGCTCACAGTGCCCCGTGAGGACCACGGCTGGGAGGAGGAGGCCAGTGCATCCCCTACACTGGGGAAGCTGGGGCTGGGAGTGCAAACCCGTGCTCCTGTAAGGCACAGCGGGAAAGGTAGTGAGGAAGGCTGGTGGAGAGCAGGGCCCATAGGGTGCATGGACGTGTGTCCAGGGTGCTGTTTTCTGGGAGAAATGCTGACGAGCAGTGCTTGAAGATCTCTGCCATGGAGAGATGCTGCTGTTCCAATGGCTTATTGCCAGGGATAACCACAGCCACATGCCCCACATCCGCACCTGCCACCTCAGATGGAAGAAGCTCCAGGAGGAAACTCCTCGGGACACGGCACGGTGGGACCCTCCGCTCCTGGTGCCTTCCAGAGGTGGATGGGCACAGACCCACGTCAGGCCCCACTGCCTTACTGCACAGCCCGCACACTGCTGCCCTTTCATGGCAGGGAGGAGCGCGTTTGCCGCTGCAAGAGCTTCAGATGAGGATGCCAAGGCTTAGTGGAGGTGAAGCAAAACCAAACGTAAGCAACTTCAGTTTGGCAGCAGCACAGCTAAGGAGGAATTGCCATGAGCCACGTTACCCACCGCTGCTGGTAGTGATGCTCAGGTGGGTACACTCTGCTGCCAGAGGAGTGCGATTTTAGCCGCACAGTGACTCCAGGTTATGCTCTGGACTGCAGCAGAGGTGGGCCCCAGCTGATGCTTGCAGGTGTGTTGTAAAGTCTTTGGTGGCTGCTGTTCTCACCAACCAAAGCAAGGGTTGCTGCTCCTCTGTATGGCTCAGCAATGGTAAAGAGAAAAACCCATGAGTTTTCTTGGAGTCTGAACTCTGGGAAGTCCCCTGACTTTTACAGTTTGCAGAGATGCTCCTTATAACGTTTCAGTCTTAAATTATCTTACTGCAGAAATTCTCGCTCATCCCCTCCAAGATTTGTAACGCAATAAAAGAAAAAGCAGGTTTGTGATTATAGAGGCTGTGCTTTGATCGTACAGCTTTCCTGCAGACCTGTGCTTAGCAGGAAGATTTGGATATGCCACTTGGCTACAAGTGGACATCTAGAAGAATGTACAGAAAAAATGAAGAATTCTCCATGAGATAGCGTAATTTATATTGCTTATCTTTACATAGCAGTAACTGAGTCATTTCACTTCGGGTAGAACCAGAAGGCTTTTATCTGAAATCTCTCCTGATCCCTAGAAACCTCCAAAATCTCTTCTATGGCCTGTTAGTTATGTTCAAGAGAAAACCAACAGAGATAACTTGGGTGAGAAGATCCCATGCACGGTGCAGTGGGATGCATCACTACAGCTTGATGTGCATCACTACAGCTTCTGCTCAGACCTACCCAGGTACCACTCAGGCCACAGCAGGGAGGAGTGAGATGTCCTGGCCAGCTGGAGTGGGGCTGCCCTGGGTCACGCTGCTGCAGGAGGAGGGCTGGGAGTGCATATGGGTCGGTGCCTCTGCTGCTGGCATCTGTCTGGCTGCTCACACAGACTGCTACCGCCATGCAGCTCTAGGAAACACTGGTGTTGCCATCTGAGAGGGGTTTCCAGCCTCTGGCTCCTCCAGAGCTCAGCACCCTGGCCAAAGTGATCACTGCCATTTGTCCCACCAGGGCATGGGAGATCTTGACCACATCCACATCCCAGCTTGGATGGCAGTAGACCAAACCAAGTCCTGAAGGTGACCCTGTTCTGGTGGTGAGGAAGATGAGAGGGGTCAAAGAGCTTGAGCATCATGCCGGGTCACTCAGACGGGCTGCTCACTCCTTCTGATGCCCGTGCTCACGATGCCATGCCACAGCTCCTGGTGCTCGGTGGGGCTGGTATGACTCCGGGACGGGCTGTTGACGTGCAAGAGCTCTCAGGCTGCAAAGCAAGCTACTGCACGAGGAGGCTCCTGGCAGCCAGGGATGAAAAGCCTGGTCTGTGGGTGTACCTCCCCATCTTGCTGCACCTTGAGGGTGTCCTTGGGGTGTTTTGAGGAGGGCGCTGCGTTCCAGCTGCGTTCCAGCGTCTAGTCAGTCAGCTCGAGTCTAGACCAGGCAACACAGTTTGTGGAGGGCAGAGCGAAGGTGAGGGAGGCAGTGGAGGTCTGGGAAGCAATTTAGGGTCCCATGCCTTGGCAGGGGATCTCCTGTACCCCAGGTTGTCCTCGTTGTCCATTAAACACTTACTTCCCCTGTGTCCTCCTGTCCAGAAACGCGGTTTGCCTGGTGCGGGTGTTGCTGTCAGCGGCCCCGGGGGCCGTGCTCTGTCGGGTGCTTTCTAACACTCTTTTTGCCGCCGTTTCAGGAAAGCTGTTCTAATGTTCTCTCTCCCTCTCCTTGTCCCTTTTCCTAGTCCCCACCAAAAGGTGCCACCATTCCCTACCGCCCAAAGCCCGCCTCCACCCCTGTCATTTTTGCAGGTGGTCAGGTAAGAGCCGACCCGCTTGCAGCCTCCACTGCCAACCTCAGCCTTTTACTGCAGCACCAGCCGCTGCCCGTTAGTGCACTCAGGTTTCTTGCCTTCTGACTTGCATGGTGTCATCCCATCTGTTGCATCCCACAGCAGGTGGACTGAAAGCTCTTTGCAGAACCGCTGGCAGTTTGCAAGCCCGGGCAGATGGCTTAGCTCCTGTGATGGCTGCTGGAGGATAAGGAAAGGGCCAGCCCAGGGAAACAAGGTGTTAGCTCTGCCGGGCATTCATGCACCGAGAAAAGGCTGGAGATAGCATGGAGGTGTTCATGTGGCCTGGGGAATCATAGAACCATTTAGGTTGGAAAAGACCCTTAAGATCATCGAGTCCAACCATTAACCTAACACTGCCAAGTCCACCACTAAACCATGTCCCTAAGCGCCACGCCAAACTTGCTCTGTTTGACATGGGCTCACGTGCTCAAAATACTGATTTTTGCAGGTACTCACGCCTTGGCGAGTCCTGCGTCTAAATTGCTCCTGGCTCAAAATCCAGCTTGAGTTCGCTTTATTATACCCAAATTTAGTATTTGCCAGCAGTTACCTGTTTGAAGGAGAAAATGAGAAAAGCCTCGTTGAACAAGAGGCCATGACCATGCTCTCACAGTGGCTGCGAGTGTTTATTTTCTGGCATCTCTAGTCCAATTAAAAATAACTTTGCATAGTTGTAATTGATCCGAGATAGGAAGGGCTCATCCCAGCCACGCCAGGACCGTGCTTAGCCTCTGTTCAGGGCAGCCTGAACCTGAGCCTCCATGAAAGGGTCATCCCCATCACTGGTGCTTAGCTGGTTCAGGGTGCTGCTTCCCCCAAAAATGCCATAAGCTCTGCTGCAAAGCTGGGTCTCAGCTCTGCCCACAGGAGCGCCTGCATTGTATTGCCTTCAGTGACAATGCACAGTGCTCGGTCTGCAGGCTTGCAGTCATGATGTGGTATGACCCTTCTAGCGACGCTTGGGAAGCGATGACAGATTTTATCTTTGCAGGATAACCATCACACGCATGTGCCACAGGAGCTGGTGGTTGTTCTGCAAACAAAAATCAGCTCCCACAGCATGTGATTTATGAAACAAGAGCAGTTGAGCAGGTGGCTGCTTTTAAAGAGGGGACTTGAACCATTGCTTTTTCCACCTCATCTACTCGCCTTGCCTGGTGACCTGCCTGTAGATGCCACCATGCCATGGTGCACCAGTATCTAGCAGGAGAGGTACTTTCCCAGGAGCTCCAGGAGCCAGGTAGAGCCAGCACCACAAAGCTACAGCTAATGCCATCCAGAGCAGCTCCACACAAATTATTTCATTTCTCCCCAACCATAATAAATAGCAGAAGGACAAACTATGGCTGGGAGCAAATCCCAAAGCACAGGCTATTTCAGGCAGCATGCTGAATTAGCATCATTGCCAGCATCAGAAGGAGTGTGTCATTTGGTCTGAGCAGCTATCCTGGCAAAGAGCTTTGAGTCCAGTTGCTTGGTGAACTTATCTTCTCAAAAGGGAGAGTAAGATGGAGGTAGCATTTCTCCTGCTGGTGAACAGTTGGTGTCTTGCACAGAAGTGACATAATGTGAAGAAGCAACCGTCTCTGAAATGAGAGCTCTTCCCTCCCGCCCCTGAGGGAGCGCTGGTGAGCCCCTTGGCTCTGCCCGAGGGGTGGCATGGGGTGGGTGGGCAGAGGACAGCAGGTGACAGTCAGTGGTGCTGTGAGATGCTTTGGGGTGGGTTGAACCTGCAGGAACTCAGCAGGCTGAGGGACGCAGTGGCAGATGGCAACTGCCAAAGGCATCAGCCCTGTTGTCCGTGTGCAATGTCAGCCTCTGCAGAAAGCCAGGGGTCACACAGGTGGGTGCTGTCAGAGTTGAGTTGCATCTGTCCAAGACACCTTCCTGCCTTTAATTAGCTTTTTCTAATCAATTGTTCTAATCAAAAAACAACGACCAAATTAAACTGCCAGGAAAGAGTGAACTTTTTAGAGCAGCCTCTGCCACGTCCCCATGGGCACACCGGTCCCTATGGCACTGGGATGCTGGCAGGCCCTGGGACTGCTGTTTCTGTGCGCGGGGCTTTGCTTCCTTCCTCCTCCAGGATTTTGGGGGTTTTCCTCACACAAAGCTATTTGCAAAGGATGTGGCAAATTTGCAGGAGGTTCAGAGTGTTTTTTTTTTCTTTTTCTTGGCTATCTTTACTCTCCCTTTTTAAAGTGTTATCCATCTCTCTTGTAATTTCTTTTAGAATCATCTGAATAATGTATCAACCAGTGAGATACATTTTGCTAGCTGGTTAAGTCCGAAATATTGGGCGCTCTAGTGTCTGGCTCTTTACCCACAGTGGTGCTTATTTTCAGGTTATTTACAAAAGAGAAAGGATTGCTACAAATTATGGGAAAAACACTAAACAATTTGCCTAGCAGACATTTGCATGGATTTGTCAATTATTGCTGGTGAAAGGCATTGCAGTGCAGGCAGCCTGTCCCTGAGCCATCTCCATGCTTGGTGAGACATCAGCACCAGCTGGTTTTCTGCACGACAATGCCCTTTCCCCCAGCACAGCACTGGAATATACTGGGTAGATGTAAAGCGTATTGAGAGTTGTGCACCTGAAAATATGGAGAGACTCACTGCACTGGCTTGCTGTCTAGGATCACGTTTAGGTGCAAAGGGCAGCGGTGATGTTACTGTGCATCCGCTACACAGATAATTCTAGTTTGATGAATATCTTTTGTGCAGCGAAGCCCTGTCTTCCCGCTCCATGCAATTCTGGCACCTTTAAAGAGCTCTTTCCTTCCTTTTGGAAAAGCCAAACTGAGCCCAAGCCCTTCAAGTTAGGTAGCTCAGAGTGCTCCGGCTTTGATCGGAGGGGTGGGTCTCCCTCCCATGCCAAGGACTCGCTGCCCCAGCAAATTTAATGCAGCACAGGGGGGCTTTTCCCCTGAACTAGCCAGGGGGGTGAGCGGGGCAACTGCTCGCTGCATGGGAAGTGCTTCCCTCATCCCCTCCAGCCTCAAAATTAAGCCAGTTAAGTAAAAATTTAAGATCCCGCACGCTGCTTTCACCAGCAGTGGAGTGAGGGGAGAGGCATGCCAGAGTCACAACGCTCAGCTCCCCGTACTTGGTTATTTGGGGGTAGTACGGGTTCCCGGGCAGAGCAGGGTGGGGGCTGAGCTCCTTTTTAGCCTCTGCATTCACAGCATTTACCCCACGTCAGGCAGAAAGGAGCAAAGCCCACGGACAGCAGTCCCTGTGGAGGCATGGGGCTTTGCCGTCGTCTCCTGCCAGCCCTAATAACATCTGTTTTTTCTTTTGCAGGCCTATACAATTCAGGGACAATACGCTATTCCACACCCGGATGTGAGTTTTACCCTAATTTTTCTTATACCCTTTTATGTCACCTGCATGCTACTGTTAATTCACATAATATTAATATTAGACAATAATATTAATAGCATATTTTCAAAGTAACTGGCCGTGTGTAGTATCTGTAATACCTTGAATAGCCTTTTAACCTGTTAGCACTAAATTTTATTAATCCTGAGGACTTGGCCTGATGCTAAATTGTTTGCATTGTTCAGTGCTATCCCTTTGTTCTGAGACAAACCATACTCTATGCATTTTGTGCCTCAAAATGATCAAAACGCGCAAAGAAAGGGGAAAAAAAATACTTTCTCCTGTATTTCCCCCCTTATCCTTAAAATACTGGTAAGCCCAGGGCTTATTTAGGTGCTGAGTGCCTTGGTGGGGTGAGGAGAAGCCAGACCTCCAGTGGTGCATGGTTTCTTGCTTGAAGCCTGGGCAGGGGGATGTGCCTTTTTGGGGGTCCTCCTCCGGGTGACTCAGAAGCAGGTGTTGAGGCTGGGCAAAATGCTACCCATGTCCCCTGGAGGGATGGAGAGGATGGCCACCCACCACACTGCTGGGTCTCACCTTGCCGATGGCTCTGCACCTCCCCGCGGGAGCTGGACCCCAGACCGAAGCGGTCACCCTGGGTTTGATGGCTGTCTCACTTGGTTCGGCTCTCTGTCACCCGGGGAGGGCATCACGGGTACAGTCCCCGCTTCGTCTTGTGCTTCTTGGTGTGGAGACAGGCGCCGCTCAGGCTTGCAGTGTGGATGGGTTTTGCTGATGCTCGGATCCCCCTGCTCGCGCCAGGCTCCTGTGCCTGGGGTGGGTCAGGGAGTCACAGCACATTTGCGAGGGGACATGTAGGGAACATCTGCTGGCATGTCTGCACATAAAAGTACCAACAGAAATAGAAAATGAGTCTATTTTAAAGGATATCTCTATTAAAAGCAGCAGTGAAGCACTGCAATGCCAGCAGCTCCTTGTCGGCAGCAGACAGCTATTCGGCTTCTGGGGTCGTCACAGCTGACACATGCCGGGGAGCTCTTGGAAGAAGCTGGGATTTTCTAAATGTATTTCAGTGGGGATAAAACACCCAGCGAGTCCCATTGCAGAGGCCCCTTCTTGCTGGCATGACTGTGAGTCAGGGCTCCGCAGTGGGGGCTGAGCACAATGTGCCGCTCTGGGGATGTGGCTTAATTGTAAGCGGCATGGTCTGCGTGGAAAGCCCTCTCCAGCCATTCCACACATGGGAAGAGTTTGATGTGGCTCAGTATTCCTCTTTCTGATGGGTGTGTTGGGTATTAAATCATGGGATTACTTTTTGCATGATTGAGAATGGAGCAAGGTTGTTCGATACCTTGAATGCATGCTCCCTATGGGAATGATGAGGAGCTGTAGGCTGGATTTTGATCTTGGGAGCTGTGATTTCACACAATTTAGTGGGGGCCAGGCTTTGGCTTTCCATGCAACACCAGTATGCATGTACTTTGAATAGCCTGCTGTGATGGTTGCTCAGAAATGTTCATAATTGTGTGCGCTTCGCTTTGGCTCCCTAATCGGAATATAAATGAATACACCTGCATATTTAGAAAGCATAGATCAATATATTCTTTGTCCCAGTTTTTCTTTGCAAGCGTCAACAACTTAGAGTGTTTTCCTTGTTGTTATACTGCTCTGTTTGACAGGAATACATTTGCTGGCTGCGCTCTGCCCTACTCCCAGCAGATGTGCTGAGACCAGGAAAAAGTTGTTTGTGCAGGGGCCACACGCTCCATCCTTACTCTTGTAGCTCTCTCGCAAGGATCAGTCATTTTAAACACTGCTTGGTGCAGAAACCAGTCTTGAACGTGATTTTAGCGCATTGCCCTCGCTCTTGCAGGTGTCTGTGTTTAGTGGATGCCTTTTGCAGGCCCGTGGCTGCAGAGTGGTGAGAATTTTGAATGCCAAAGCTAAAATGCAAGCTCCTGCCTTGATTTTCTCCCCTGGGAAAAACCCCCAAGTCAGCGTGAGTTTTGGCTCACGAAGGGCTTCAGCATTGCCTGGGTACTCATAAGCTGTTTGGGATGTAATATGCAGCTACCTGCCTTCACAAAATTTGCGGTGGGAGATGAAAGGACAGCCGTGGCAGCTGGGAGTCAGGGGCGTTATTGAAATAAATGTCGAGCACAGGAAAGCTCCCCAACCAGGGCATCGCTCCTGGGTATGCACCAGGCTGGCAGCCGATGAGATGTAACGAGGCATTGCTGTGGGTGCCTGGTGATGCTCAGCATGGCTGTACGTTGGTCCCAGCGCCGCTGTACTGCCCTCTCCTTTCCCTCCCAGCAGTGCCTGTGGGGAAACTCCCCTCTGGTCTGCAGGAGAAACCAGAGTTTGAAGAAGTGGTCTCAGGTTTTTGCTTTCAGCTTTCAGGAAACGGGAGAGGAGGTGTTTCATGGACTGCAAGCATTCACGTAGCAACTTTCACTTTAACACCTAGGTGTAGACATCCTCTCCTTTTGCAGGCTTTTTTCATTGCTGTTATTATGGGTCTTTGCTAAATACCATTATCCAAACCATATCTTAAAAATATGCTAGATCAGTATTAGAAAGGATTTTGGTGTTTCCCCCGTCGGACAAAGCAGGACCCCTGCCCCAGGGCACGGTTGGAGCCCGAGGGGCTCTGCCTCCACGGTGCTCCTTGGCAGTGCCGGCAAAGAGGTAGGAGGTTTCATCTGGAGTCCTGCCAGTGGGACCGGTTGTAACAAGGAGTTCTGCAAACAGGGTGTGCCTGGGTTTAATTTGGTAGAAAACAGGAAAATTCTTAAATTAAAAAGCGGCGGATGCTGATGTCCCTGCTACCTTCAGGAGCGGTGGCGTGCCTGGTCCTATCCAGAGCTGACTGTGTTTCAGCAGGAACCTGCCGTAGGGCATCTTCAGCTTATTTTCTGTGCTGCACAGGGAGAGATGTGCATGCACCTCTTCTCGTGGGGCGGCGAGACCTCTCCCCCAAGCCAGTGGAAGCTGGAAGTCCTCACGCCTCTGACAGCCAGGGCTCCCTTGGGTATCTCTCCAGGAACTTGCAGGCGTATCCCCTCCCCGCTGCCTCCCTCCAGTCTCTCCCCCAGTGTGCTCAGGCCCCCGGGTCTGCTCTCTCCAGCGCTTCCCCCTCACCGCTGCTGGCCAGACCTCCCCGCGCTCCCTCCCCAGCCACGCTGCAAGGAGGTTTTTGAGTATTGTTTCCCCCAAAACGTGGAAATCATAACTCCCTCCCCATAACTTTCCCTCCCCAGGGAGGGGATGGGTGCAAAGAGCAGTTTGTGTTTGGGGGATGATGCGATCCTGGCAGCCCTCTGAGTACCTGTGAAATCACCGAGCAGGAGGTGATAAAGACCCTCCCTCTCTCCTGCTCACTGCTAGACTTCAGCCCAGTTTGTTTTGGGGTTTTTTTGTTGTTTTGTTTTTTGTTTTTTTTTTTAATTTGGAGCAGTAAAACAGAGCACAAAATGTATTCCAAACAAAATCCTCTCTATGCAACCGCTTCCTGACGGGGCACGAAAACCTACCCGGCACAACAAGGGATACAAGGATCTGAAATACCTACTGGTCATGGCTGAAGCCCATATTTTCCTGTACTGCTAAGGGGCTTGCACTCGTAACGAGCTGACGTTAAGAGTCGCAGTTTGTCAGTCTCCCAGAGGCATTTCGCATCAGATGGGCAGCACGAGAACGTTTGCTGTGGGGACAAGCGGTCACGATGCGGCTCCAGCAGCACAAAGAGGGTCTTCTGGCTGCTGGCACGTGATGGCCACCAGCCTGGCAGTGCCTTTGAGATGGCTCCTGTGCTCTAAAGCTACCCTGAAGCAAGCAGCAGCTTCTGGTCGCAGGTTGCGAAGCCCAGGAGGGGAAGGCAGCGGCTGGAAGCGCCACAGGCAGCAGCCCTGCCACTGCTGCAGGCGCCAGCCCAAGAGTACCTGTGAAATCACCGAGCAGGAGGTGATAAAGACCCTCCCTCTCTCCTGCTCACTGCTAGACTTCAGCCCCAGTTTGTTTGGGGTTTTTTTGTTGTTTTGTTTTTTGTTTTTTTTTTTAATTTGGAGCAGTAAAACAGAGCACAAAATGTATTCCAAACAAAATCCTCTCTATGCAACCGCTTCCTGACGGGGCACGAAAACCTACCCGGCACAACAAGGGATACAAGGATCTGAAATACCTACTGGTCATGGCTGAAGCCCATATTTTCCTGTACTGCTAAGGGGCTTGCACTCGTAACGAGCTGACGTTAAGAGTCGCAGTTTGTCAGTCTCCCAGAGGCATTTCGCATCAGATGGGCAGCACGAGAACGTTTGCTGTGGGGACAAGCGGTCACGATGCGGCTCCAGCAGCACAAAGAGGGTCTTCTGGCTGCTGGCACGTGATGGCCACCAGCCTGGCAGTGCCTTTGAGATGGCTCCTGTGCTCTAAAGCTACCCTGAAGCAAGCAGCAGCTTCTGGTCGCAGGTTGCGAAGCCCAGGAGGGGAAGGCAGCGGCTGGAAGCGCCACAGGCAGCAGCCCTGCCACTGCTGCAGCAGCCAGCCACATGCCAAGGCGGCCACTTGCTCGCGGCGAAGGAGCTGAACCGTTTGACGAGAGGTGGAAACTAAGAACGGGCTTCTTGCTGGTATCGTACTTCAGACCCTGACCAAGCACTTCTGCAAAAGATTTGGGCTTTATTGCATTTTACCCAGGCCAAGTCCTTCTGCTAATGTTTTTGCCATGTCTCACCATGGCTTCCTGGTTTGGTTTTTTTTGTTTTGTTTTCTTTTTTTTCTTCCATTATAATTTTGTTCTTGGTTTTCGGTGTGACTTGTTTACTCTATGACAATAACCTTCTTAGCTCTAATGTCCCTCCTACCCCTCAGCAGTTGACCAAGCTCCACCAGTTGGCTATGCAGCAAACCCCCTTTACTCCCCTTGGACAGACCACCCCCGCTTTCCCTGGTACGTACCCACACGCCCTTTCTAGATCCTTCTCTTCTTACCTGTAGAGTTTCTATCTCTTTCTAAACTCATGCTTTTTAATGGAAACAGGCAGGGCAAGTAAAACTGAAGTTGCAATGTCCACGGGGAAAGGTTAACAGGGAGACAGGACAGATGTTTGGGGGTTACAGTCCTCACGGGCAAGCTCTCAGCCATTAACTGTGCACGCCTGGACTGCTCCTGTGAAGCCACGCTTACCTTGCTCCCAGTTTTGCTGGCTTTCCCAGCAGAAGCAATGAGCGCCAGTCTCACATCCTTCCCTGCCCAGAGTAGGTAGCATCCCCTGCTGTGCACTGATCCAGACCCCAGTGGGACATCCCTGCTTTCCCGGGGGGAATGGCTTGGTGCTGGCCGGGGATGCTGCCCCAGTGCCTGCGGGGAGTGGTGCCGAGCCAGGCAGGATGGCACCCCTGTGCTGGGGAGAGCAATGGGAAGGAGCCGTGGCTATAGGGAGCCACGTTGACGGGAGGACAGGCAGCCCCGGCGTGGCTCAGCAGCCTCGTCCCCAAGGCTGGCATTGCAGTTAACGCATTTCACGATGACCTGGGAAGCAGATAGAGTGCAGGGGATGGAGATACTTAAAGTACCTTTGTTTACTCGGTGGTCAAAGTGCCAGCTGGAAATGCCTTTTCTGACAGTATGTTCATCATATTTTGAGCTTCCTAGATGAAGTGACATTGCTTATCTCCTCGAAGGCAAAAGCATTAAACCTGTTTCTTCTTTGCTCTTCAGGAGAAAAGCTGCCCTTACATTCCTCCGAAGAAGCTCAAAATCTGATGGGCCAATCATCAGGTAAAACACAAAGCTACAGGGAAATAAGCAGGCTTCTGTTGAAATATATTTCTTAAATAGGACTGTGCCATTTTTGTGCTCCTAGATAAATTGTGGTATTTGTGGAGAAGAAGGCAGGTTTTCGTGGTTGGCAGGGAGAGGCTGGGCAGCACTGTGCTTGCCATTCTCAGCATGTCAAAAGAAAAGTGCTTGGAGTTTATTGCCTAGGTTTTTGACGTTTGCGTATAACTGCCATCCGTGTAAGAGAAAGACATCAGAGTCATCACCCTTATTCTTTCATTTAAATTTGCATAAACTTTGCTCAGAAACAGTAGAAAAATGCCTGTGGGAATGGAAACAAGACACAGTTTTAGCCATCTCTAAGCCATTCAGGGTGAGCTGCATTTTTAGTGGGACAGGACCCATGCCAAAGCATGGCTGTAATCTTGGAGAAATTTTGATGTCAAATTTCCCGCACGTTCATCAATATGTGCCGAACATGCTTATCTTTTATAACCTACCATTGCTTAGAGGCGTTATCCTGAGACCTGGAGGCTCATAGGCAATGTGAGCCAGACCTCCCCTGGATATACCTGAGGCACACGCGTGCTCTGCGGCCAGCCAAGGTGAATCACATGCATGCCTCAAAAGAATCTGCGGACATCGCCTAACTATGAAAGCAAATGTAGCCCAGGTGAATAGACCCCACAAGACTATAGCAAAAATAGATTTCATGATACCAACCTCCACAGCCTTGTTTTCTGTGTGCCCTGCTTTGCCCTTTGCAATCACCCATGGCACTAATCCTGCTCTGACCCCACACATTACAGCTGCATGTGCATATCAGAGAGGGAGGATCTGGTATGCTAAAATAAACTATCTCCAGGTAATGGAGAAGGACGTGGCCATTCCTCGATGGCTGTTGTGATGCAGGGGGTGATGCAGTACCATGGCACCGCGTGCCCCAAGGGCTTTAAGCAGCACCCATGGCATCTGAGCGTGGGGTGGGGGGCCCTATCTATGAATCTGAGGAGCCCAGCCTGCATTTCCAAAGACCCCTGGGTGCCTCAGCATTGCTCTGAGCCCATTCCCAGTGTTCTGCTCCCTTCAGAAGACATTTTCTGCCATACCCAGGCTGCTACTGACCTGAGCCTTGTAATGCATGGCAGAGAGGCGGGGACATCTCCATCCTGGGGGACATGTCTTTGCATTAGGTGCAGTCCATCTTGCCCTAGACTGCGAGGAGGCTTGGCATGAAAGACGGTCCAGGGCTGGTGAAATGTGTCTTCCAATGCAGTGTGCTATAAAGTCAGTGTTAAGCATTGCCCACTGAGTAAAACCTTGGCAGGAGCTGTTTTGTGCAGGCTTTGGCATTAGTACCCCCGGCAGGGGTGGAGGAGGGCATAGGGCTGCTGAGTGGAGGATTTACATCCCCATTCCCTGCCTTTCTGTGTGCTCCCAAGTGAAAAATGTGGTAGAGAGACCTCCTGCAAATGGGTGCCTGGGTGATGTACCCAGGCGTTGCGTCTCTGTAAGGGAGGTGCATGTGGGAAAGCGCAAGAATCATGCAAGAGTGAATCAAGGATACTTGATATTCTCATTTCTAGGGGTGATGCTCAAATGGAATTGCAACCTAAGGCTTCCTTTTAGCATTTTAGAAATCTTGCTTTGACAGTGCCGGTACCCAGACAGACATCAGTTCAGACCTGCTGGGTTTTAAAACCCGGGCGGCTGTTGCTGGCAAAACTGGACGGGAGGTCCTCTTCCGCAGTGCAGAGGGCCTCAATGGAAATGCAGGGCATCAAAACTTGGCCATTGCTTGGAGGAGTTACTCAGCGTGGTTAAGGCAGCGGCATAGTGCTGTGCAGCATGAGGAAGCCCTGCTGGACTGGGTGACTAGGAATTTGGTGCTGCTGCTGTCTTGTGTTGTAGCAGCCCAGCACTTCCAGTCTCCCTGTGCTTCTTTTCTCTGCACCCCCTTACTCTGCACAAGTGTCTTGGACTCTTGCACACACTGCTCTTAAAAGCCTTCCTTGGTAGTTCATACGGATAAGGGTTTTTTTGAGATTACTGCAAATTCCTGTTAGCCACTAGACAGCTTCTCTCTTGCAGATTTGCAATAGGACATCCCTGCTTCAGCACTGAGGTGATTTAATATGGAAACCTGTGGGAGAAGCAGGCTTCAGCCTGGCCTAGGAACGTTATGGCATTGCTGTCCTCTTGCCTCTGGAGCTGCACACACAGGGTAGCCTGCTGGCTACGTACCATTTGCCATGCTTTCCCTTGGGAGTAAGAGGGACCATCAGTCCAGCTAGCGTGCATGTCTTAGCAGTCTGGCTTAAATTCAGCATGCAAGTCTGTGGGGCTTTAACTTGCAAAGTGCTTTGCAGGCTGCCCTGTGCTAGCACCGCCAGATCCCCCAAGGAAACCGGTTTTGGGGCGCCAAGCTGCTGTTGTAACCAAGCAGCTCTGTGCTACTGTGTCCAGAGAGGGCTGGAGGGTACGTGGACAACCCTCCCACCGGCAGGCTGTCTGCCTCTAGGGTTGGGTTTCCCAGCCAGCAGGCTGTCTGCTCCTGTGTGGAGGAGGGAAGGTGCTTTTCCCACCTCTGTCAGACCCTCCCCAGCGATGCTGCAACCTTGCGCTGTAACGCACCCTCCTCTGAAGCCATTCCCAGTAGGAGGATGGAGGGTGGGAAGCGAGGCACTCATGGGGCAGCGCCTGCGAGGCCAGCTCAAGGGATGCAGGGGAAGGTGGCACCCAGCTCCAGAAGAGTCAGGTAGCAACTGTCTTCCTCCTCCTTGTACCAGAGTGTGTGATCCCCTTCCCCTCCCGGCCCCGGAGCAGGACGCAGCCTTTGCAGTGTTGACTGTTGCGGGAAAGCAGTGGAGCTCCACCACACTGCCTCTGCAAGTTATAACCATTTTCCCTTGCATATGCCCAGGTTTGGATGCCAGTCCCCCGGCCAGTACTCATGAACTCACCATTCCCAATGATGTAAGTAAATCCAAGTGCTTCCTCGGAGTGTGTGTGTGTGTACACACATATAAGTGTGTGTGTAAGCTGCAGGCATATGACTTTGTTAAATATGTTTAGAGATGCCCCTTCACCAGGTTCACTCATGCCATGTGCAGTCTGTTGGAGATCAGCCTGCAGCATACCCTGACTTTACCCCGTCGGTAGCTTTCCTAGGTACAATCCTCTTTAATGCTCCTTTTCCCTTTCCAGGTGAACTCAGTGCTCATGAAACATGCCTAGTTGACAGCATTGGGAAGGGAAGAGAGCTCCTGAGCCAGCCCTCATTAAACTATAATTGCTTAATCTAACATTGGCAGATCTGAGATGATGTTTCAGCTCAAGTGTAGTTACTGGGTGGGTCGTTGAAAAGGAGGTAAGGAAATAGAGTTTCTGATGCCACAAAGTGCCACACAAGCATCTGAAGGACAGTGCATCTCATCTTAGTACTGGTGGCAGGCAGCTTTTGGGTCTTACAGATGGAGGCATTGTGGTAAAGTGGATGTTGGACTGGGATATTCACTGGTAGGAGGCTGGAGTCACGCTGGGCACCGAGCGGTACGAGGAGGGTGCTTGGGGATGCTCAGGTGGGAGGAGGTGGGATGGAGAGCCCAACACAGCCAGCACCCGGATCCAAGGGTCTCACTTGCTTCTGGACTGGCCTACCAGTTTCCCTGGGTTGATAACCAGCGGGCGCTCAAATCAGGATCAGGGCAAGTGGGGGGATGACTTGAAGTCTCTGTCTCCACCTCCATCACCTACAAGCACCTTCAGCCCATCCTCATCAGGAGTTTCTGGATTGGGCCTGGCAGCTGTTGCCACTTCTTCCTGCTGTTCACCAATACACAGCAATGCAAGGGAAGGGCAGCGAGCCTGGCTGCAGCTGCTGGGCACCTCTGCTCCTCTGGGACACTTGCAAGGTCTCCTTCCACCCGAGAGATGTGGCAGTGAAATGGCTTCTGAGCATCTGCTGGCTGAAACCCTCGGAGATGCTTCACCCCAGGGCCAACAGCTGTGGGAGGGCTCTGCAGAGGAGCCTGTAGGAGATGGTGGCAGGGCTGATCCCGGGTCTGCTTCTGTCCATCCTAGCGAGGACCCTCCTCCAGCAGGCTGCGGGGAGCTCTGTAAGCGCTCCTGAGGTTGCAACAGCCACGTCTGTCAAGCGTGGGGGACCATGGCCCTGGCAGCAATGATAACATTTTCAGGAACATCAAGTGACCCCTTGCAAAGGGGCCTTTCCTCCCCTTTAACATGCTGAGGAACCTGCCACAGGACCCAGGAGCACTCAGAGCATTCGCTCACTAAAAAGCCCGGCTCTCATCAGATCCACACAGCGTTAAATGTCATTGCCTGCGTCTTTCTGCCTGCTGAAAAATGCCTCCTTAGCTCTGCCTCCTGTTGTTTTGAAAGCTCTTAAATTCCCATTGCCACCTTCCCAGGAAGCAGAGGACAGGTTTGGGTTTCTTAAAGCAAAGGGTCTACAGGCGTGTTTTAGTGGTGTAGATCAGCTTGCGGTTGTGCTGCAGAGAGAGGAGAGTTGAAGGAAAGCTGGTGATGAAATTCATCTTGTCACTCCTCTGACCGTCAGGAGAAACTTGAATACTGTGCAGAGATGCTTGGATGTTGCTGAACATCTCTCCAAGTAGGTTTGGCTCCTCAGGTCTCTCCAGCAGGTTCCAGCTGTAAGGGATTTTCATTTGCTGAAGCATCTCTGAGTTATTTCTGTGCCGTGAAGACCAGGATGGGCGGCTGTTAGGCTGAACATCACGCTGCAGCCCCTGAGATAGTTGATACCCTTCCAGCACTGCAGTGGGGTGTATATTCAGGTTTGTATGGGACAAACCACTAAGGTAGCCCGATGGTCTGACAACAGGACCACTGAACATTTGGAGGAGTAGTTGTCTCCACTTCTACAGTGACAGAAATCCAGCAGCTGCCAAGATGAATGTCCCACATATAAAATTCCCAGGTGCAACCTTGGAAAGGAGCTCAAATGCTGATGTCCAAGAAAGGCATACAGAAACACCTCATGCCTGTGTTGGTAAAGCTGGATATCCCGGTATGTGTTACCAAGGTGTGGAGGTGCTTGAGGGAACCATTTTTTGATGCACAAATGAGCGAGAGCAAAGATGAAGACCATTGAGGAAATTCAAGCCATTGAGAACGATTGAGGAAATTCAAGGGGTGGGCAACTGAGGAAATTCAAGCCTCCAGCTGGCTCTAATTTTTTCACGAGAGTGTGAAAGATATTTTTAAGTAGGATTCTCCTCTTCTGCTGGTGCTGCAGCCACGTGGTGCTCTCCTGTCAATGGTGTGAACGCCGGCAAGCCCTTGCATTGCACCAAAAGAACTGAAAGGGGTAACAGAGGCAGCGAGGGTGTCCCAGCAGGGTAGAAGTATGGGATGGGGTGAGCAATGTGAAGCTATCAATGGTGTGTGGCTGCACCGGCTGATGAGGGGGCACTTGGGGTTGGGCTGTCCCCAGGGAAGCCATCTGGCTTGTTTTCTTCTAGTAACACGTCCTGTATAACTGTCTTCAGGTTCACTGTGATTAGTGAGGGGTAAGTGCATAGCACAGTCTGAAATATGACTTATTCCCATCCTTAGACCCTTGCAAAACATGGACCAATTATTAGACCATGAAAATTATTATTACTGAAATGAGCCTGGTATAATGCCTCGCCCTTCCTGGAGCCCTCTGAGATGCCAGACGTCGTGTGTGGATAACTGAAATTTGCTCCCCGAGGAGCAGAGCAGGGCAGGCTGCTGGACGTGTCCTGGGAGAACCATGCCCGCGTGCAGGTGGGATTCACCCCTGGGCTGTCCCTCTCCTGTTTTCATGAGCATTAAGGTCACTCGCACCCCAGGGCAGAGGGAAGAGGGCTTCTGGCCAGCGCCATGCAGTTGTGCTCATGTCCTGCCAGTGGCTGCCAGAGCTGCCGCTTCTCAGATGTTCCCTCCGTGCTTTTTTTCTAGCTAATAGGCTGCATAATTGGACGCCAAGGGACCAAAATCAATGAAATTCGGCAGATGTCAGGAGCGCAGATCAAAATCGCCAATGCCACAGAAGGGTCATCGGAGCGCCAAATTACCATCACAGGAACCCCTGCAAACATCAGCCTTGCGCAGTACCTCATCAACGCCAGGTGAGACCCCCCCACCAAACTCCACCGCCTCCCACCACGGCCAAACCCATCCCGCCGGCGCGGTGGGAGCAGCACTCGCTCCCGGCACCATGGGCCAGGAGGGGCTTCCTGAGGCCAGCTGGGACGGATAGTGGCTTGCTGAGACCTCTGAGCAGGGACCAGACATCACCAGTGGGACCTCTCACCCTGCTGGTGCTTTGGCTGGGGACCAGGAGATGCTTCGCTGCCAATGGAGCAGCTGCGAGTTGCGCCGGTTGCCTGCCCACCCGCCACCCTCGCTTGAGGATTTTGCTCGTGGGTGAGCAAAACTGGTGCCGCCTTTCCCTGCGGACGAGGCAGGGGACAGGGACGGGGATGGAGCTGAGCCAGTGGTGGGGAGGCATCACTTAGGACCTGCTCGCTGGGATCCCAGCATCGCTTACCGCCGCCTCAGAGCCTCTTCCACGGCCTCCCAAAGAGGCCTCCATCCAATGAAAATAATCGGTCCAATACACGCAAGACATGGGAACGGCCTGATTGCTTCCTTTTCATGCTAAAAAGCTTGGCGCAGCAGGACTTTGCAGGGGCTGAGTGCTCCTGATGCCGCCTCCAGCTGGGGGGCGATGCTGCCTGTGCTGTTGGGGACCAGGGGTCTGGCAAGGGACTGCAAGGGGAGCATATAAGGGAGGCGTAGCTGGAGAGGGGTTGGGGACCAGGTCCATGCTGGTGGTGAGCCATGTCCGGGTGCTCACACAGACCTGATTGCCTGTGTCTACAGACTCGTGGATGGGGAGCTTAAGGGGAGACAGAGCCTTTCACTGGCTTTGCACCTGCCTGATACAGCCATGTAACCTGAGGCAGTCCACCTATCCATGCTCTCCGCTGTGGGCAGAGTTGGTGCCGTGCCAACCCGCCACCAGCCCAGGATGTGTGCGGCTGCTGGAGGCTGCCGGCAGGGTCCCGAGGACGGGGGGCTGTTGGCGGCAACTCTGACGTTCATTGGGGTGTGGGCTGGGAGCACCGGTGAGGTCTGTACGTGCTTTCTCCTCCTTGCACCCAACCAACCTCAGCCCTGACCTGCAACAGATCTCCACTATCCCATCCTGCCCTGCTGTCCCGCTGCCCACACCCATGGCACCTCTTCAGCCGCTCAGGAGAGGGACGGGGCCGGCCCCACGCCTGCAGGCATGGCTGAGCGGCTTTCCCTGCAGCTCCTTGCAAATCCTCCCCACCTCTCGAGACAAGAGAAAGAAAAGAAAAACGAGTGGCTCTTTGTTACTGGGAAGGGCTAGCTGAGCTGCAGCCTGTGCTGTGGCGGAGGCAGAGATGACCTGGTGGTGGCAGGATGTGGCATAGCTCAGCCTCTCCCATCGTTTCAAAAACCAGAGCAAAACGAAGAAGCCAGGGAGCTGGGACAGCTGCCTGTCCTCCGTAGGAGGGATGCTGGTAAAAGTGAAGCCATGTGCTGGGATGTCTCCTGCCAGCACCCCTGGTAGGTGACACCTCTGCCACAGCGCAGTGCCAGGAACGGGCATTACCTGGCAGCAGCGATGAGAGCGGAAGATAACCAGCCACTGAGCTGGCTCTATGCTCCAGCCCCCCGTGCCCTCCATGGGGACCCCCAAGCCCCATGCGCTCAAGCCACCCAGTGATGCTCTGCTCCCCGTCTGAGCAGGGCATAGGCAAGAGGAGGACTGCTGCCCCACAGGGTCTTCATTTTCTTTTCTACTCCAGATATTAAGCGCTTGTTTTTGTCTCCCCCCACCCCTCTCTCTGCCCCTGTCTATTCTAGGCTGACGTCTGAGGTCACTGGAATGGGCGCACTCTAATTTCCACCCACCATCCTCCACTCCGCACCACCTGACCCTCTCCAGCCACCGGCACTCCACCCAGCCTGTACTGCCTGTACATTTACCGTCTTCCCTTTGCCTCCACAGATACTCTTTTCTTTACTAACAAATACATATATATATATAAATACACATGCATATGCACACACTGGAACGTTTCTTTACGAGCTCCTTACTGTGCTCCTGAGGCTGCTCCCGAACTTTTTGGTTATGGTCCTTGTTTTCAGCGTACGGTGTATTACTTCATCTGCTTTTCAGGGGGCGGGGAGGGGGGTTGTTTTTTTTCCACTGGTGAGACTTCAGAAGATGACGGGGACTCTAGTGTCAGTCTAGCGTAGCTACTTACACGTTTGATTTGACGTTGGTGGTACTTGCTGTAGCCTATGGACGTGTGACGCCACTCAGAGCTGTGCGTGCTTCAGAGTACTTACTTTTCTCACCCTTCTTCCTTTGATGCTCCCGCTTCGTTCGCTTTGCTTGTCCTGGCTCATCTTTGCAACCTCGCATCCCTGCCCTCAGGGTAAGGCATAGTTTTCACCCCGTGTTATTTGGGAAGCAGAATGTGCAGGAGCCAAGCTGATGTGCGCGCATGGGTTCACCCACAGACTTCTCTCTTTGCAACATGGCAGGGTCCAGACAAGCCATTTTTCATACTAAACGAAGGGAATCACACACACATACACGCAAATGGTCCTCTTTTTTAACTAATGAGCAATTGGAAGTGGGAAGAATTCAGCTGTACGGGATTCACACCCCCAGGGGCCTTTGAAAGCACTCTTTTGACAATCCCCACAAGCAAAACCTTTGGACGATAGCTCAGGAAGCTCTGTGAGCCAGCTGTGTTTGTCATTGTTTGTGTTCAATAAATGTCTGTGCAGCTCTGCTACCGATGGGCTCCGACTGTTCTTATCCTGGGTCGCCCCGCCATCTCCAGCCCTATCCTTCCCTCTGCATTCTTCCGCACCTTTTTAGCTGCTTGGAGGGAAGGTGGGGTTGTATACAAAACCTTCATTATAATTATAATTATAATTATTATTATTGTTATTGTTATTGTTATTGTTATTGTTATTGTTATTGTTATTGTTATTGTTATTGTTATTGTTATTGTTATTGTTATTGTTATTGTTATTGTTATCATCATCATCATCATCATCATATGTTATTTTATTTAGAGAAGGTCCCCATGAGCAATGCACTTCCTGAGTGATTCCAGGCTTTCTTTTTTTTTGAAGGGGAGGGTGCTTGGCTTGCATAATGCTTTGTTTTTCCCTAAGATTAATTTACAAGTTACAGTATGACAACAAACATCTCTCACTGCTCTCTTGTCTGGACAGATCTGCCATGTCTGTGCCCCACGCCCTTTCCCAGGACCCTCTATGCCCAGCCCTGCCTTCTGTTTCCAGGCTTTACATCTCTCTCCTACCTCTCAAGTGGGTAAACAAATATATTTTCCATCAGTTAATTTCCTACTGTACAAAATGTATGGTACACATTTTTCCCATATTGCAAATGAGGGGAATATGATACACCATGTCCCCAGGCAGCTAAAGCAGCCACGCAATACATTTTTGCACTGTACCACATGGGAAATATATTGTTTTTCCAGGTGAGCCCCAAGACTTCATGGCCTTTCCCTCTCCTCTTCCCTTAGTGCCGGCAGGCATCGCTGGCAGCTCCCCTCCCTTCTCCTGCCAGGATGCTGGACCACTTTTCTTCTGGCTTTAAGTGCTGACTGCCTGGCACTCATGCAGGGCGCTTGGAGCTCCCCTGGGCTGCAGTGGGGACCCTGGGTGATGCCACCGCATCAGTGGAGCCAGGGATGGGCAGTGGGTTATGGGCTGCAGCCCCAGTGCAGGGGCTAGTGCAGCTGCTCGGCAGCTGGCAGGGATGATAGCACGGCTCAGAGAGGGCGAAGGGAGTGATTTTGCTTGAGCAAGACAGCACGTGCCAGCCAGCAAAAGCTCCACATCCCACTGCCGCCACCCCCAAGCAAAGTGATGGCAGCCAGTGGCCTGGGGTGATGCCCCCCTTGGAGAGAGATGGTGCATGGAGGGAGCCAGTTCATCCCGCCGTGGCTCGGCTCTCCCATGGGGTTGTGGGACAAGCCAGAGCATGAGCAGATCTTGCAGGTGATGCAGGCACATGGAAAGCAACCAAGGTGCTTTGCAGGAGCAGCCTGCCTCTTCTTGCGCTGCTTTCTTGGCATGAGGGAGAACTTTAAAGTGCTGGCACACAGGGCGCAGTCAGAAATCAGCAGCAGCATCATGTCGACCAAGACTGAGAAATCCATCACAAGCCAACGTGTTTGTGGGGTTCGTACATCTGTTGAGTGCTTATGCCCTGAGGAAGGCAGGGGACCTTAATAGCGTGCTAATTGCAATTAATGTGGAAATGGCTTTGCACGGGGACCTGCAGTTTCTGCAGATCGGAGCTGCCCTGAATTTCTTTGCTGTGTGTGTGCTGTGCTCCCCGTGCTATTCCCCACCTCCACTGAGACAGCGCTGCCCAAAATAGCAAATGCCAGATTGGGTCTGCCAGATGCAACCAAGCTCAGAGGCTACTAGAGAGGAGGAGCAGACTGCAGCAATACCTCTACACCCATCCCCATGCCAGTGAACCCGCAGATAACATCCCCCCTCTGGGTACCATCCCCATCCCAGCCCGCTGCGATATGTCCATCACCCAGTGAGACTGTGCCTGCTGGTAAAGCCACCGCAGGAATCAATGGTGAAGGGGGGGAGATCAGATACAAGCATCGCTCTGGCATCAGATGGGTATCTGAGCTGTTGTGTCAAGCTGCAGGCTGAAGCAAGGACCTGGGCTCATGGGAGCGCTCTGGGCAATGGTGCATGGGGCCGCGGTGGGGGCAAGGGACGGTCCCAGTGGTAGCGGCCACCTTACAGGAGCGCCACGTCCTTGCAGCCTTGGCTCGGTGTGGAGCAGCAGGAGAGTCTCACAAATCTTCCAGCACCTAGATAAAAAGCAATGCTGCTTGGGACGTGGTTTTTAAGGACTGTTGTTGAAATATGCCGTCCTGGAGGTCAGAGCATGGGGATGGGTTTTGCCTTCTCCCTGTGGCATTTCAGCTTGGTTTATCCAAATGATGTCTGCTTGATTGATTGATAAATCTCGAGGTATTTCCAAGGGACTTGAGCAGGCAAAGGAGCCTCGATGTACCAAACAGATCACAATTCTGCTTTTTGCTCTAGTACAGGATGTTTTTTGTTTTAGCTATCTGGAGACCATTTATAATAGAGAAAGCCACTTGAGCAACTCTATAGCTGGGAAATGCCAGCCCTCCTGCAAATGAAGCCAGGGTTTCTCAAACTGGGCATGCAAAACATGATAAATCTATGCTGGGCCCCTACAAAGCAAATGCTTATTCGCCTCCCATTGCTCAGGAATCCCCTCCTCGGTGGAGGGAGAGATAGAGCCCGGCCTGCTGCCTCTCCCCCCTGTGCGTTTAGGTTTTAGAGGGAGTGGGAAGGAATTGAGCCCTTCGCTGTAGGGCTGGGGAGAGGGGAGCCTGTGGAAACCATCAGGTAGGATCCTGCAGGAGAGGGCGCAGTGAAGGATGCTGTTGCACTGGTGTGGCTGAGGCATCCCTCCTTCTGACATTACCTTTGACTTTGCAACTTCTCTTTGGCATCACATTTCCCAGGTTATTCTGCAAATTAAAAAAAAAAAAAAAGAAACGAAACTCCAGCGTTATGTGGGAATCTAGCAGCTTATCCATCATCATCTGGGCTTAAGGGAGGCCTGGAGAAAGAGGTGTTTAAACAATTGCAGCATCTCCTAGGAATATATTGATGACAACAACGATAACAACAAAATCACAAGGAATGTATCAAACTCGTCTTTGATTTCTTTGGCATGGCTCAAAAGGAGATTTGCTGTTTTCTTTGGAAGGACCCTCAATGTTTTGCTTTTACTTGTGATGTGTCTTGGGTTTGCATTTTATATGAACTTAAAATGCTCCAGTGATGCATCCACAGCCATGCCACTGGGAAAATATATGCACATCTCTAATATTGGAGTGAATATTCAATACAAGGTGAACATCCCAGTTGACCAACAGAATAGCTTTAGTGCATTGCTTTTCTCTCTCAAAGCAATGCATTTTATCCAGACAGAATGATTCAGCATTTCTGGAAGTAACCAACTCAGTATTACTCAGTCAAACTCTTTGGGAATGCATTATTTTGTGGGAAATTGTTACTTTGGCAGGAAAGTATTGGTCCAATGCCTCCCCCTGCCCCCAGAGCACGGTGGCTCTCCATCAGAGAGGGGCTGGCTGAAGACCATGCTCAGCCCCTTGGGCTTCAGCTGAAGGTCTCCACTCCCCTTCATACCCTTCCCAGGCCATGATCCCAAAAATAAGTGTTTGGAGTATTGTTATGTGCATTTTTTTCCTAGACTGTATTTGCAAATCTAGTAGGTAATGGGGTCGAAAAAAGTAGGTTGTTTCCCCTAAGGGAAAGTGACTTTCACCAGGGAGACTCTTTAAATTTAATACTCTCTTTTAGTTGTAATTCAGGTATTTTTATGTATTCATGCTAGTCACTTTTAATTATGCTAATTTCGAGCTCATGGACCATTAGCAAGGGTAATTTCCCCCCTCCAGTGCCAGCAGAGGTAGGGTTTCTGGGGGATCGCTTTGTGCTGTGGGAGGGATGAATCCTTAATCTCATTTTCTCCTTGGCACAGAGGTAGAAGGATGGTGTAGGCTCAGTGCAAACCCTTTCTGACACCTTTCTCACACTGTTTGCAGAAGCTGAGAGCCCCACAGCCCATCTCCTCTAACCCTGTGTGCTTGCAGCCCCCAGCCCCAGGGAGGTACCCCTGCTGCCCAGCCCTGGGCCCCCCCAGGCTTGTCACTAGATGTCCCCCTTGACCAGCTTTTTGCAGCCATCCTGTTCCAGACTGGGCGTGGGCAGTGTTTGGGTGTGGGGTGCTCCCAGCCTCTGCTCCATCCGCCTGCAGAAGCCGTGCCACACTGCTGGACTTGAGAAGGGAGTGGGTATTTG